GTTATGGCGAGTGGTGACTTTCGCCGAGTGTTGTCAGGCATCCGCGAAGCATCTCGCGGTTAAATCATTGAGACTTGCGTCAAAATGAGCCCGTTATGGTCATTGTTCCGAACGATTCGTTTGACAGAAAACATGCGCGCTGCTGCAAACGAAACTTGATTTACTCCATGTTTGCTCAGTGTGGGGAGTCAAACATTTCCACGAATACAGGGCGATCCATCTGAGCTCGCCGTGCGTTTACCAGGAAATTCTATCTCCGATAACATGGTGAAGGAGCTATTTTGGCAAAGGCATAGAGTCTGCGATGCCGAAGTGAGAAGCAAACGCGCTTTCCGTGTCCCAAGAATGAGCACTCCAGTTATGTCAATGGGGACGTGTCGTCCCGATTGGAAGGCGTATTGCGGACACATCACAGTATCGACATTGTGAACGATGATGGTGGTGATGACGTCGATCGACAGGCCACCTTTCTCTTTGAATTCTTCAACAATCTCAGTCCTTTGGGTCTCTTTCCGCACGCCCTAAACATAAAACACGGAGCTATCCTGACGCGTGTATGAAATCTTATGATTGGGAACGACCTTAGCAATGATACGCCTAGGACCGTGAGAAACCTGAACGCAAATGTCTCAAAACTAGGGGTTTTCAAAAATAAAAGGGGGCAATGGCTTGTACTCATAGTCTAAGGGTGGCCTCGGGTAGGGTACTAAAAATCCCCATTTCATTTCATTCCAACATCCATAGTAGTTGAGGTGATCACGGGTGCGCCGAGAGGCTGCATTCATTTTTAACTGTTTAGAATTTCACTGGACGCGTCAACCCAAATCAAGTCTGCATACCGTTCCATCGTTGCCAACGTCAATTCCCTATCGAGCATACCTGCGGTACGACTATAATCAAGTCTCAGGGAGAAATATTTGATCAAGTCGGACTTACGGAGCCGGTATGCATGCATGGCATTTGTACATTGCCAGCTCGCGAGTTGGCTCTGAGTATTCGCTCGAGATTCAGGTTATCGATGGACCGAAGCAAGACGAAACTAATGCCGGCACCATTACTGACGATGTGATCTTTGAAGCACCTCTTTGTTCGTTATGAGATGAACTTTCCGTTTCGTTCCCACGTGTGTCCCGTTTCTTGAATTTTCATGGTTCCTTCCATATTTATTTACATGTGCATGTGCCAGATGTAGGACGCTATGCCTCATCCTCACTTTGATGTATATGAGTTGCATCTTGAACTGTAGATCAAGTTTTGGCAGCGAGAACCTGGTTTAGACTGTTTTTAGACTTTTTTTCTCAATGCTCATCAACTTTGTACGGTAGAAGGCCGCTAGTAATATTTAATAATGGCTCACTCAATCCTTTTTGGCATTGTCTCAATCGTAGACGGTGCTTGTGGAGCGAAACGGGGGTCACGATGAAGGGGCAAATACATGCCGGTATAACGGTCATATATCGGATGGACGACACGTGTTTGCCTGTGACTTCTGTAAAATTGCATTTATGATGAAGATTTGCCCGAAATTCAGAAGATCATGGGTATTCGGATGTTCCATTATTTGAGTCCAGACGTTCATAACGAGATGATGAACCTCATCAATAGTGCAATTGAAACTTGCATCGCTCAAGAGGTCCTTTCATCATGAGCATATGGAATCATAGTGGACGAAATAATCGATTCAGCAAAGTTGGAACAAGTCTCGATCCGCATTCGCTACTTGCTCGTGAGAGATGTGTTAACGAGGAACGCTTTCTTGCGATCCTGAATAATGTCTCCACTACTGTGGAACAATTGTAGAAAAAAATTGGTATCTGGAGGATGAAGACCATCTTGCAAGATCTTGGAATCCCAGTTGACCGCTTGCGTTTCCATGCCAACGATCGTGCCAGTAACACGAATGGCGAATGCGATGGCGTTGCAGGGAGATTCCAACGAGACTAACTGCGAGCCATGTGCGTTCTCTGTCATGCCCGTCTTATAGACCGGGCAGTTGCGAGGTTTTTGTGATGAAATTCCAGTTCTGCGAAATGCATTGGCAACGGTGCATTCGTTATGTAATCTTGTGGAGGGTTGCACGGAGAGTCATGCCGCATTTTTTTAATTTTACGGCGAATCGGTCTTCACCTGATGACTCGGAAGAGTCTCTCAGGAACGAGGTGGACAGTTCGTTACACTGCTGTTTCCACAGTCGTCAAGCTCCTTCCACAAATTGCATAGGCATGATCATTGATTGCTGAAGAACCTAGCAGGAGGGTTGCCGAAGGGGCGGGACTAAAGCAGAGACTTGCCGATTTTTCTTTTGTGTTTTCTTTGAAAGCCCTTGAAAAGTTCCTCTGGCCGGCCTATCAACTTTCCCGAGAATTGCAATCGGAATCGGTTGATATTTTGCAAATTCAATCCAAGGCGAAAGTTGAGGATTGAGTTTATTTTGGAAAGCCACTTGGCGTGGCCTGAAGGCAGTCTTTTGATTAGGCCTAGACCTAACGTCAGTGAATCCCGTAGAAAGGCTGGAGGTTGAAGAAAGGGTAAGCCAAGGAAAATTGGCTTTCACATTACTTAATTTTAATAATGGAGCGAGCCTTTCGCCTGACCGTTTCTGTTCCCTGCCCCAAGATTGCCGGGAAATGTTTCCCACCGATGTGAAATTGATGCGATTGTTTCGGGACTTGGTGGGTCCGAGTGGAAATGACGAAGGGGAATTCCGGCGACGACTCGATCGAACGTGTATTTTCTGATACAGAAGAAAATATCCGTGCGATGAATCCACGACCAGCTCGCGAAAGGACGAGTCGAAAAGTTCGACGACAGTCCTGAGTTTTTCCGTTGGTCTCGATCGCCGTGGAGAATCCGTCACTACGAGGACTGTGTCCAAGGGGATGGGTTCCCGCTTGCGGGGTGCCATAGGGCGTTACTAGCCCGTGCTGGACGGTGGGATGTCGGGGCTCGGTCGTGCCTGATGCGGGTCGAAAGACACCACCGAAGTGGAGGTCAGTGTCTATACCGAGCGTCGCACCTTCAAATCGGCCGGCCTCGAGACAGAATCCAAGAAGATGAAGCCCTGAATTTTGCAATTACGAACCTATTTGCTCCTCGACTTTGCATGGTGACGCAAGCATCGGGACGTGGACGACTGAAAGCGTGCCCTTTGGTCTGGAAAGATCAAGATCAATTGTCTGGGATCTGTCGGGCGCAAGTGGGCGTGGAAAAAGTCGAATAGTGCGCTCACAGTGCAGCATTTTCAAGTTGCGGACATTTTCCGCGGTCGAAGTCGAGTGATTTGGGGGTGCATCATCGTTCATGGAGTCGAAATGCAACTCCTTGGGCGGCCATGATGCGAATACATCGATGCTTGCCGAACCGATGGCCGCACGAACACAGCTCCATGCAAGCATCATCGGCGACAAATTGCTCGGAACGATCGAACGCTACTACGTGAACGCGGATAAGACCATTTTTCCAAAAGGATACCGATCCTAAGCAAACCACCGAATGAATAGGAGACAAAGGAATAGAGGTGCTGGATGGGTTCGCCCAGTCCCTGGACCACAATTCCATGCAACTTTTGTGGCTCCATCAAAGGAGCGACGAATATGAGAGAGACGACGTTAATCCACGACGTTCGTATTCTGCTTACGAGGTGTTTTGCGAAAAGAATTTCTCGGACCTGTCATGCTGTCGTGGACGAGAATCTACGCTAAACTTTCGAAGAGTTTGTCGATCAAAAATTGCAACAAAAAAAAAAGAATGTGGACCGCAGATGCTTATGTTTTGTACTTCCGGCGTAACAAGACTACAAGAGAGTATACATTTTTTTTTTCAGACGGCTAAATCGACAGCATTTGCGCCAAAATGTTGCGTTTCAAATAGGAAAAACCATTCCACATTCTAAGAACCACAAAGACGGAAGGGATACTTTTTGCGTTCGGAAGAAACGTGGAGAAAAATTGGCAGGAAGAATATTGCAAAAACACTCGATCCGAAATTCTGTGGGTCTTCTCACAGAGAAGATCGTGACCTCCAAGCGAATGCAAGACTTGCTTGCGAAACGCTATCCTCAATTTTACGTCAGCTGCTCCCCGCGCAGAGCGATCCGGAAAACCGACGAAAGCCCGAAAATTCACAACTATGAGCTGTCGAAGGAGTTCAACACCGATCAGCTTTGGGAGACAAACGGTGTCATACATTCGATGGACGAGGAATTCAAGTTCTCCTTGACCCAATTTTTTTTATTTAATTGACCCAATTCCACACATTTCCTTGACGTGACACGAGAGGAAGAAACACCACGTCATGGGGAGCATAATTTTTTATTCCTTTGGGGTCATTCTACGTTTTCTAGACTCAGCGAGTGCCGATCGCGTCAGTATACATTAATGGACATCAAATGCACTGAACACTTTCGCTGCCGATGACGAACCTCGTCGTTGTCAATGGAAACGCGCGCCATCGGCAGCAAACGTGTTAAATCGCCATGCGCCAAAACCGCGCGTGTTTGAGGGGAACTCGCCGGCATATGTACATTTTTTAAAGGGGAAATTTTATGTATTAATGATCGAGAGAGCAGATCCCCTTTGAGTTCTCCGATTGTAAATGGATTGCGCATGAGCGCGAACTCGATTGAGTCGAACCAGAAACGTTAAATTTCAAAACGAATAGCAATATCCACACGATCAATTCTACAATAATTGCAGTGATCCTGCATGTGCTCGAAGGAAATATGAAAAAAATTGGCGATGCAGAAAAACTCGCACAAACAATCGAGACGTACATGTTTCGGGCGTCTCGCTACAGACAACCTTGTGGATTTCGCATTTTAGATGAAACAGTGCCATACAATAAAAAAAAACTCAATTTGATTAGTTTACGCTGATTCACGTGTAGGATTCTGCGAAAGCAATGCAAGCGAATCACCGTCCATTCTGCCATCGACCCCGTAAAGGCCCCCAAGAACACGTATCTCGGTGCCAACACGCATCGGATCGCCACGACGCGGGACTTCAGGGCAAGCGGAACTCGCAGATCACGCCGTACAGCAGCGAACAAGGTTCATCGTTCCACAGGTTGCCAAAATCGGGGGCCATGCATCGTTCGATGACCCCGTCCCAACTAAAGGATGGCTCCCCGGAACCCCAGAGGGTCTGAACCGCGGCCGACACCAACGTTCCTGTGCCGAGGACGAAACAGACGAAAATGGAATCATATCGATGCGAGATCTGCTGTCGGTCTGGTCTGGTTCTGCTGGAATTCAAGCTATTAAATTTATTCTCGGTAACGAAGAGAATTTCTCAGCGAAATATTTCCGATACATAACCGCGTCTATTCGTCTTCGCGCTCGACCGCAGACGATCGCATCATGGTCTCCTCGTGAATGTTCGAGTGCTTTCTTCCAAGATATGGGAAATACTCTCTATGCACGCTAAGCTAGCGATCGTCACGAGTTATCGCTTGGAAAACACTAAGGAAATTAAGATGCAAATTACGTTTCCGATCGATGCCACTTCCAACGCAAAAATGAACGATGACATCGATACGTTTGAGTTCACAAGGATTTCGAAAGTTACCGTCGTTCCAATTATAGATGTGATTCCCATCGAGGTCGTCTCCTCCGATCCAAAATCTGCCAGACGCTGCATTATTCGACGCGCCGTACTGCAAGATGAAGTTGTGCCAAGCGAGGCCCTTGTCGTCCTGAACCAATTGGTCCGCGCCGTCTTTCTTGCAAGCGGCCAATGCAGTGGTGTAAGTCATGGTTCCGGGGAGAGACTTGAGGTAATGCACCTTGTCCGTGATCGTCGCGAAGGTGTAACCCGATGGGATGGAGCCTGTGGTGAGAAAAAAAGAAAACGTGAGAAGAGCAATCCTTGCGAGGGTGAAAGGGTGAGTCACACGGCGCAAGATGTCGTACACGAGGAGATCTCGTCGTTGCTTTAAGATCTATGTCAATCTGGAAATTATTTCCGGAAACGTAAAAGTGGTGAACATGGCGACTCTCACGTACGCGAATCTCGAAAGCACATCGATAGTGTCGTGATCTCCAGATCGGACGACACCTGAAAAACATGAGATTTCGGTGTGCCACAATGAGGAGTCAAGGCGGCGGAGAGAGCAGTAGGCAGATGGTAACTTTCGATCTCGGTAAAACGATTTTGCAATGATATTGGGATTTTCTTTTCGCGATATTTTCCATGCGGGCGCGAGAATGATGCGGACTCAAATTGGAAAATGGAATTGAACGTTTGGATGGGGGAGGGGGAAGTTCATTCAAACCCACGGAAGAATTTAATGAAAATGAATGCGAACATGACTATGACGGAGGGGGGGGGGCGGTCGCCACCCCCTCCCCCCCATTCGCCATTGGCTGGCCATGTGAGAATACATGGGCACTGCAATAGTAGCCTTAATTTCTCGAAGGTTTGCCACTGCGTTACGCTAATCGTCATGGCATAGGGGATGGGGAACACACAAGGACAGCTTACAGATCAAAACGTTACCTTAAATCGTCGCTTTGTAGGTCAATGCGTTATGTCACACTGCCCTGCGAAAATCGAAACTCGTCCTGCACGTTTCCGAACGCTATTAGCTATTGGCCACGCTTCGTGAACCTACAGGGAGGGCAAAAAAAAGTAGTGCGTGTCTTTTCATTTAGCGACCACATATTCACTCGTCGAGATAGGGGCCTGGAATTTAGGCCATTGCTTAGAATGCCTAGACTACAATGAAGCGCACTTCACTTCGTGAGAATCGGTTCAGAAGTTCTCATAGTGAGGATTTCACGGCGAGAGGTGAAAAACAGCCCCTGCGCGAAATGGAGATTCTCCCTGTCACCACAAGGCGTGTACGTGGAGGCCAGTATTGCACGCAACAACTTTCCCTGGCGAAATTATAGGTAGAAATAAAAAGAAGGATCTTGAAACAACACAAGAAACGATAGGGCCTACACAAATTAAGGCAACCGGAGCCTCTCTCCTTCAAAAGCTCTGCTGAACAAACAGAATCTTTCATCCAGTTCCCAATGGCAGGTTTGTCGCGCAGCGGCGGATGAATCCCTCTTTGAAAAAAAAAAAGAAATTCCTATGATTTCAGGTATGATGGAGCTATTCCAGAATCTTACGTGTGTAATAGAGGGTAACAGACATGCCGGGGGGATTTGCCAGAACGGTGGAATTTACGCTTCCCAGTTGACAGACCGTCGTGCTGGAATCCGTCTCGAGGGAAAAGGCCACGCATCTCGCGTTCCTTTCAAACCAGCCGTAGAAACGCATTAGCATGACGCACTATGCCATGAATCCACGCGACGTCTGGAGGAAAAAACTTTCACCTGACACACGCGTCCGCGCAGGTGACGAGGTCCCAGCCGGTGAAGGCGAGCAAGGAATTCCGGATCGCCGCGTTCATGCCGTCGACCTGGTAGAACGTCTTCTGTGAGATTGTTACACCCTGTGCGGTTCCTCGCGAGCACGAATTCAAGAAGATGAGGATACCGACCTGGAAAACAAAACGTTGCCTCATGGCTCCTGAAGCATATGGTGCCTTTAAAGAAAGTTTCCAGCTCTTTTCATCGTTACCATTTCTCGCTATCTCGATGTCTATTACAAAATATGCGATGTCTACGAATACGACTACGAAAGTTGTATTCGTTAAATATACGAGTGGCATTCAGAAAGTTCTAGGAGTGTTTTAATCATTTCTGGGTAAATTCTTTATCTCCATTCGACTATGATTTTTCAACATGCAGGAGTCGCCCCTGAGTTCGACGCACTTCCTGCTGCGTGGAATCGGTTTCCTTAGACCGCCAGAAAAAAGTTTCTGTAATGTTTGGGATCCACCTATTTTTATGGAGGCTTCATTGCATCGAGGAAACGAAAATGTACTCCTCTCAGAGGCTTCTTCATCTGGAAAAAGAGGTGTTTTCACTTGGAGCGTGACCATGCGGTTTGGTCGGATGCGGGAGCAATTCCCACCTCGATTCTGCTATGCTGCTCTGGTTAAGCGCGCGGTGTGGGGTCATGCATCGTCATGCTTCGTCCTGCCAAGGGAGCGGCTCGTTAATGTTTCGTGAGGGTATTTCCCGCTGCGTGAATTTTTTCATCGGTGGTAGCCGTTTCTAGCCAACCGCTGCAAAGGTCGTCCTCGATGTCTGGCGCCCATCTTTTAACCGCTCCAGCGACTGGAAAACGGCACCATTCGATCATGCAGATCCTCCAATGGCAGCCTGCAGTCTCCAAACCATCTCTGAACCGAGTGCGCACTCTCGATTACCCAGCTCGATTACCTTTTGTACACTGACGCAATTCCCAGAACTTTCTGAACGTCCCTCGTATTTAATCCACGTAAAGCTAGTGCTACCGACGATGAAGATAACGAAATATTCCCAGAATTCGCCAGTCGTTTAGCTCGATCTGTCGACTTTGCTACATGCTAAAATTACAAGGAAGAAAAGAAGAAAAATTAATATAAGGAAAGGAAAACATGTTCTCCCCCCAAATATGACTCACTGCCCGCAGGATCCTCAGTTGCCTTGCTGACTCCGTACGCTTCGTGTCCCTCATATTTGACTTTATCTTCATGATCACTTCTCATGCAATTGCCTTTCAAGCACCATTGAGATCCACGTAAGGGCTGGGCCTGTTAAAAAATTATTGGATTAAATTTCAAATTTTGAAGAATATTTTGAAGCAGGCCTCTCATGAAGTGCTGCGGACATGCTTCGATCCAGCATTCTCCCCTTAACTGCTGCTGTCGCGTCAACGAGTCAGAGTGGATGGTGTCCCATATGCCACTGTCGCGTTTAAATGTTTCATATCATCCTTTTTTTATCGCCACCGTCGCGTTTACGCGACGGATTCGATCCATCAAGGAACATGTTCTGATACCTCTTCATGATGTTACAATGCACATGTCATCAGGTAGATACACAGCTGAACCAGACCATACGGACGATCACTGGGTGCATGAGCCCCACCAATCTGGCATGGCTCCCAGTTCTTGCCAACATCCTCCCTCCCAACATCCGACGCGAAGAGGCACTGCGCAAGCTGCTATTCCGACTGAAACAGATGCCCCAACTCCCAATCCATGATGACATCTGGAACCCCCCCAGCCTGAGACTGACCTCTAGACATCCCATCTGGACGCAGCACTACATCCAGGAACTCTCAACAGCTCCCACCACTGCGGACAGATGGCGCTCAGTTCGTTTTCCTGTTCAATGAAATCTTGGCAACTTGGGTTATTGTAGCAGGAACATAGGGACATGAGAGGATGTCAGGAATGGAAAATGTATGACATGAGTAACAAAGAGAAGTTCCTGACAGAATATGACAGACTTCTGTCATAGGCCTAGGTCTAATAGATAAGGTGTGGAAGTAAGGCAAAGCCAATAATGGATTAGAATAGCATGCAGGAAAAAAATTGACTCAACAAAAGATATCAAGAAATCATTCCAATGAAGGAATCTTTTCCAAATGTAAAGTGGAAGCTTATAATACCAGTAGGGAAAACAGAAATCAAGCTTACTTTCTGCTCGACATATCAAATGTCATGTCAAAATTCCAGAGATTGCTGCACATATACTGAATTCTGCTTGGGAAGTGCCTTCCTATAATGATTTGATGGGCAACTACAGGAATGGAGACAGCCCATTCAAATTCTAAAATCATGAAACCAAGGAGTGTGGAAACCAATGATCTTAACTTCCAAGCTGCTTTCCAAATTAGGAAGATGGGGTGACAAACAATGTAGTGCAATGGAGAGAATGAAAATATACAAGAACCTATAAGATCATGAGTTCGTGTAGGGAGCAGCACTCTAACTCTGTAAAGAGTGCACAGAAAGTCAGAAGCAAAAAACATGGCATGGCTAAAAAATGCCAGATATACACCTAGTACTTTATATATTCTGAACACAAACTGCCAACCACGAACAGTCCTAAATTCAGCTTCACTGAATTCACACCAATTCTCCACTTTAAAGTCCTGGGCCAATGAGCAAGGATTAAGGAAAGTTGGATGCAAGTCACACAATACCTTCCATCTACCTTTCACTCTCTCATCACACAAGTTCTCATCTCTCTCTCCTACCTCCTGTTCACATCCCATGATTCCTAGGTGATTAATACTCAAAGGAAATATGAAATTCTCTAAACACTCACTCTAATCACTCAGAACTGGTAGCTCATATGGGCCTAACTACAGCTTCATATTTTCCTAACTGTGGCTTTTGTCTTTCAGGAAGTCCTTCCCACTTCCATAATGTTGGTTCTAATCTAACAGTCAGCACTATCATCTAATAATACTTAAGGATTGGACAGATGAAACAACAAAGGCTGGAATGGAATTAAAGTCTAGTCTTGTCTATGCCTCACTTAAACCTACCATATGCTAAGTTTGGCCAGGCCAGTTTCATCAGACCAGTTGGTTGAGAGTTAATTTTTCATTTCCATGGGACTTCATAATGTACAACTTCATATCCAGGGCTGAACTTCAAATCCTCCCAAACCTTTGGCTATGTGCATGAATTATGGTTGAGCGCATATCCCCTGATGAAAGGGATACTGTGTAGCCCTGTGTTAAGTTTGACCATCATAAGACCAGTTGACTCAGCCCTTGAACTGATTCAATAAATACCCACTATCATGAATTATGTAACATCATAGCACTGCTTCTCCAATCTGTCTTGAGAACTTCTTAAACTCCTAACTTTTAAGAGGCTTTCAATTTGTTTTACCACAGCGCCATTCTAACACATCTTTATGGAATTTACTAACGCTTGGTGTAAGCCTAAACGACGGATTGTCCTTCAGTCGGGCCTAGGCCTAGTTTTACTCATTCAAATGGAATGCAATCCTTGACTTACATTGCCATTTAGCCTTTAAAGATGAAAACATGGGCTTTAGTTGAGGACGTGTAACGTTAAGGCAATACCAGGCCTATTCATACCTTCACGAACCATTTCAGAGAGGACATGTAACGTTAGACCGATTTGAGGCCTGTTTCGCGTTTCATAAACCGTTTCAGTGGTGGGGACGTGGAACATTAGGCCTATCTAGAGTTCCTCGAATCAACTCAACTAGATCTGAGGAGTGAATGGCTCCAGAAAGCATGACAAACACGCCAAGCGCCATCATGTTCATCAAGAGATGTATCCAGGGATTCAACATCTCCATATCCCTCTACGTCGATTGGCCACTGCTTACCACCGTTTCATCTCAGCTCATTTCATAAAATCAACACAATAACGTTTCATATATTAAAATGGAAATGATCCAGACAATGAGACTTGGAATTCATTACGAAGAAGTCATGAGTCTGACATAACTCTGGCGTGATATCCGGCAACACCGGGAACGGGTCTGGAGTCATCACCCTCTGCCTAAATGAATGACAGCTATTTTCAGTTTCGATGGCGAAATGGTGCACCACAAGCGACAAAAATTCATTTTTCGTTAGCTACAAGTTAGCCCCTTTGTTTTGTTGGTCTCTTTCTTTCGGAAACTCCAGGAGTGGCTACCCAAGGGGAGGGGGGGGGGGGGGTTAATACCGGAATGAAATTCACGAATTCAATACGTGACACTTTCTCTCCACAACCTCGAAGAGATGGAGTTCCAAATTTGCTGGAGCGATTCTGTGTCGAGAGAGCAAAGCCCAAATTTCTGAGTTTATTCTCAGAGTTCAATTAATTTGCCTCCAGAAGTAGGGAGGCGGAGCTTCTCATGGATTTATTGGCTCAAGCGTTTGCGATAGACTCAGAATTGGAAATTAGCACAACATGCTGCCATCATATTCCAAACTGCTGCAGCGGTGCTAGCGCCGCTCTCCTGGTAAAATCACAAGAGCAAGTTAATTGGGTGCTCCTTGCACGCTAAGCAAACCATGCTTGGTACCCACTTAAAATGGGTCTCAAATGGTACTTCTACAAAGATGTTAGTAAGGTTACCGATTTGAACTTTCATCAGCTGAATCTCGCGAATCCGTGAGCTGTCGGAAATGAATTTTTACCGTGTCAATGGTAACATGACCACCCTTGAATGATGACTCTACCACGCAGCACTTCAGAAGACGGTAATATTACCTAATTGGAAAGGAAAAACAGCAGCACGCATGGTTACTTTACTGTGATGTATTGGGAACCAGACCGCCTTGTGCTGTGTGTGTAGGTAGTTGGGTCTCGGCGTTTTTCGGCAGTAGGTAGGTGACTCCTGCCGTGAGCCAATCCGGCATCTCCGAGGGGTCCGTCACTACTTTCTGAAACAGATGCCCCAACTCCCAATCCATGATGACATCTGGAACCCCCCCACCCTGAGACTGACCTCTAGACATCCCATCTGGACGCAGCACTACATCCAGGAACTCTCAACAGCTCCCACTACTGCGGACAGATGGCGCTCAGAGTGGGAAAGAGCCAGCCCCAAGAACTCCTACCTGAGCACCAACCCGGAGGACCGCGTTGCTGGGTTCAACCTACCTCGACACCTATAGGCTAACATCAACCGTTTTCGCTGCGATACGACCCGTTGCGCTGACACAGACTACAAATGGGGCCTCCGTGACAATCCGCACTGCTGCTGTGGTGCGGTCGAGGACCCTGCCCATATACTGGCCGGCTGTGCAGTCCGTGAGGGCCTTCCCAGTGGCCTTACGAAACTGCACAGTGCGGACCCTGAAGCAATCGCCTGGCTTCGTGCCAATTGCTGACCCGTCCTTGTGTTTTTGTGCGTCTCACTTTTGGTGTCCTTTGTGTCTGTCTTGCCTTGATTGTGTTGTACTTCTAGTCCTATGTGCATTCGTAATATATATATATATATATATATATATACTTCCCAGAGAAGTGGTACGAGCACCAGCCAGAGGCTGTTGTGGAGAACGCCTCCACCAAGATACTATGGGACATGCCTATACTTCCCAGAGAAGTGGTNGTACAAATAGTTTTTGCCTATGAAGAAAACGAGAATACATTTCCTCAACATATCAGATCATTGAGTTCTCCTCGTGCGTCAGAGTCAGCTTAATGAAAATGCATGCATGAAATATTCAAATCAATTTCAAAAATGAATTTTCTTTGATTGATATATCAGCCTCCCATTACTCCATCTTCATTGATAGGCTGCCTTTTCCTTTTTTCTCTCTCTTGCTCCACCAAAAATTCCTCTGGAATAACTTCCAAAGTCTTGTACCGCCAATATACCAGAGGTAGTGGAATGAAAACGAGACATGAAGCGAATCACCTTTTTACTGGAAATTGATAGCAATGATTTTTACATCATTTCTCAACGTTGTCTCCCCCCTTTTCGATACACTTGCGTCAGCGTTCCACAAGTGCCCTTATTCCAGAGAAGTACTTCGGAGGCTTTCGAATCAACTCTTGCATCGCCTCTAGAACACGCCGACAGCCTCAAACTTTCGTCCGCCAAGCGCCTCTTTTAGGGACCCGAACAATTGAAAGTCACTTGGTGCGAGGTCAGCGCTGTAGGGTGGAGGCTCAAGCACTTCAAAACTGAGCCTCACCATAGTGTCTTTTGTTTTCTGCGGCATATGTGGGTGGGAATTATCAT